TAGTAGTTAAACCCAGTAAGATTATATTCCTCATATAAAATACTATACCCCAAAAGGAGGATACAATCTTACTCTATATTGGGTACCATAGTATCCCCAAATAAAATACTACTCATTTAGAGAACTACCCACATGCTGACCAGGCATGCTGCCCGTCCTGCAGCTGGGGTCTTCTAGGGCAGGTTTGGTCCTATAAGGATTTTTGTGGCTTTATGTTGATCATATAGGGATTGAGGGAAATATCAATGTAAGCAAACCTTGCCCTGTGGGGTCTTCTGTACAGTCCATGATGTACATGCCTTATCTGATTTATAGAGGTGTGCATTCTGTCTAAAGAAATGTCATCGCCGTCGAATCTGTGCGCCCTCTTACACCGCGCCCCGTGCTGGATGGCCTCAAAGCTTGAACAATGACATTACAAGACCTACCCTGAATACGTAGGAGTTCATATAGGGGTTTACAGGGTTTAGGGGTTTCCCAAAATTAGGTGTACCTTTTTAGGGGTCCCAATAATACGGACTATCATATTTTTGGGACTATATGGGGTCCCTATTGAGGGAAACCACCATGCTCAAAAGCAACAAAATACCGTGCATGGAGAGAATCTTGCATCAGCTCATACACTCGATACCCCAGTAGTGACAGTATGTTGACGGTTTAAAGTGCTTCAAGAATTTTAATTTCCTCCATCCACCAGTCAACTTGCCACGCTTGCAACTTTCGCATTGAACTAGCTGCTTCGCTCCTTGAAGACGCGGTTTAGGGCTGAGTGTCAGACTGAAAGGAGGATTTTGATAACCCAACCACTATGACAAGGCCCTGCAGGGGACATGTGATAGTCATAGCATCTTGTGGGGGTAAGGGGAAGCCAAGCCCCTAGCAACAAACCCCAGACCCAAGCTCTACACCCTAAATCTGAGACCCTAAACCCCACACCCTAAACCCCGAAACACTAACCCTTAGCCTGAACCCCTGAACCTTCAGGGTTGAAGGGGTTTAGGGTTTACCCTAAACCCTAAACCTCTTCAATCCTAGACCCTCAGCTCTAAAAATCCAAAACCAAGGCCCACGCTGCTGCATGGTCCATGGCGCCCAGCCTGTGGAACCGATCCCGTAGGGTTTAGAGTTTAGGGTTTACCTGTAAGCCCAAGTACCTACAGTTTTGTGGCTGGACAATCAAACGGAAGAGCAAGAAAGAAAATTGCATGGAAACTGGGATTATGAAGGCGTTTATAGGGGCTGGGGCTGAACGAACAGTACCTGTAGCTCCAGTAGGTACGATTCGACATTTTGTTGACCGGGTCAGGCTCGCGTAGCCGCTATACTGTCAGTCTCCTTTTTGCTACTCCAGGATCCCTAAAATGGTTTTGGGTACTCGCTAGAATGTCTAGGTTTGGGGCCAGAGTTAATAGTTTTAGGAGTCTGAGGCTCCAAGGACCTATGAGGCCTTGGAATAGGAGTAGGGTGAAGGTTTAAAGGCTGAAGACCTCGTACTAGTCCCCCCTCAGGTCCTTAAAGCAAAGCTGCTAAGCCTCCTAAACCACGTCCCTCAGCCAGCAGACAGGTCTCAGTAGGAGTTCTTTTGCTACTGGCGGAAGTAGTAGAAACCTTAAACCCTAAATCAGTACGTGGTAATAGTAGTTGTAGTCATGGTGGTTGAGGTACCACCGGACTTAGCTCACCCCAACTTGCTTCCCAGGCCCCTTAAACTATAATCCCTTACGTCCCCCAATTTAGATAAGCGGTACTAGCTATAGAGGGACAGCTCTGCCCTACAAAACAGGGTCTCTCGTGAGCGGGTAAGTGCTACTAAACTGAAGGTGGTAGGACTTACAGGAAATCCTAAACCCTAATCCCTAAACCCTAGACCCTTAAACCCCCAACCCTAAACTCTTCAACCCTAAACCCTGAACCCCTCAACCGCTAAACGAGCTCTGGGCCTTGGGATTCAAGTTTTGGGGGGTTGGGGCTACTGTTTGTTAAGGGAGTTTTCAGGTGGGTAGTTACCAGGTGGGTACCCTTACATAAGGCGGACATAAGGCTTACGCTGGGGACATTAGGACAACGTAAGGGCCATGTAAGGCCTGTATGGGGAAAACTACGCGCCTGAAACTTCCTCAGAGTTTGGGGTATCAGGTCAAGAGTTCAGTGTAAGGGCTTGGGGTTGCCAATTACCGGTAACCCCAAGGACCTACCTATGTATGAGCTAAACCTAGCAAATAGGGCCTAGTTAATGAAGCTGTAGGTAACTGGACTTTGTGGATCAGGGTGGCCTGCCCCCTGGGGTCAAGGCTCAGGGCCAAGCGACGACACTCAAGGTCTTGTGGTCGACATCTCACACAGACTACATTGTAGCATGTCAGCCTTCAACCATGTCGCGTATGAAGCTGATCATGTACCTGAACGCCATGAACCGCAAGGACCCCATGTAGCTTGCTCGTCAGCTCTCCCACGAACAAGGAAACTGCCCTAGAAAGTCTAGTATGGTTCAAGGCATAGTCCTTAATTAACGGTTACCTGGGGTTCCTGCGTGTTGTAGTATCTAATGTCAGCCTCAACACCCTTAACCCTAGACTGTGTCCGTCTAAGAAAAAGCAGCCAACCAAGTGACCCGGACTAGCATCCTAGCGCGCGTAAATCCTATGACAGCAATAGTAAAGCCAACAACAATAGCCGTCACAAAAATACTAAGAAGAACAGGAATACAAAATGTTGTAATAGTAGCTATAATAATGATAGTATATTATACTCAGAACATTCTAACCCGACACGCATGGCTACTTACGAGGTTATAATCCCTATATAACCCAGTATACACCCTATAACCCCTATATCTATGTACCTATTATAACGTTCCATTCTCTTTTCCATTATCCCAATATATCCCTAAGATTACCCCAAGTTTGGAGTTGAGAGGCAGTGCCACGACCATGCCCAGCGGGTTCATGGACGTCTCCTCACGCATCTGACAAGGGGACTTGGGTGCCCCCACCCTCTAACAGTTGATTTTAGGGGTCATATTAAGGGCTTTATATAACAATATCAATTGTTACAAAGTGGGGGCAGTACTCAAAATGGATTATATTGGGATCTTATTGGGGGGTTTAGGGCTTTAGGGTTGAGTGCGGTAGGTAGGGTTTAGGTTTAGGGCCTATGTTCCTGCATCCGCGGTAGGGTTCAGGGAATCTGTCGAAATGGCCTTTAACCCATTCAGACCAAATGCGGGGAGCCTGAACGACTAGCAACAGTTTTCAGAGTAGTGAAGTTGAGTGGACATACTCGTAGCCATTTGGAGAGATTCGAACTACTGCCTTGGTTTCCCAGTAACCCCTGAATAATAAGGGTACTCTTTTTTTTCCGAATGTTCAGTTCTAATAGGGAGACCCCAAACCACAAACGGAGAAAGGGTACCACTGCGCTACCTAGTAGCCCTACGAGTTCTAGGGTTTAGGGTTTAGGGTAGCTGTGTAGGTATACATAAACTTCTACACAGACGGTATACGTAGACTTCTATGTGGATGTGTACATGTGAGTGCTGTATAGCGTGTGCACAACATGTTCATATACTGTGCCAATGTTGGTACATGTATTCTGGGGAACCTTAGGACTGGTCCGGTGATACAACCCCAAACTCTAAGTTTAGGGTTTAGGTTTTGGGTTTAGGGTTTAGGGCACCCTCAACCCTGTGCTTCAAAAACCCTGAACCCTGAATAAAGATCCCAGAAGACTTGAACCCATACATGATTTTTTGGAGGTCCTGCTTTAGTCATGGGTTCAAGCGGCGGTCAAGTATGTGCTTCCTGGACGGTAATTTCACGTCAAATACTGGACGCCAACAGGGCGTACAGCAATAAAGACAATGATTTCTGGTAGTGGAGCTGTGAGATAAACAAGGTAACTTCTCCTCATGTGAAACTCTGAAACCAAGTTCCATTCAGGAAGCAGAGACTTGGCAAGAAATTTGATGGGTGACCACCAGTTTGTTGCTACACTCCCAGTGCTGCCTGAAATCAAAAACCTGAACCTTTTGAACCCCAAACCCTTAGATCCCCAACTCTGAACCCTTAGCCCTAAAACATGGCCCAAACTCTAAGCCCTGTAACCAAAACCCTAAGTTCTCTAACTGAGGCCATGATCCCGTCCTCTCCGCGGAGGTGCATGTGCCAGAGATCTGCCACCTACCGTTAACCACACGTTGGACATGTGCATATCTCAGCACAATTTCGGTTGTAGGGCGTGGGGGTTAGATTTTGGGATCTGGGGATTAGATTTCGGGGTTAATGCTTTAGCCTTCAGGTTTAGGGAGGGTAGTCTCCAAAGAGAAGGGGGACAAGTTGAAAACAATGGAAAATCAAATGGGAAAAGAAAAGGACATAGAAATGGAAACTGTGATGGTAAAGGGAGTCAGGGAAAGACTTGGGCTGAGCAGGCACATTACTTAGGATCCCCAGCAACCTAGGACTGAGAGGTCCCTCTTTTTGAGTGTAGCTTATTTCAGAGCGAACTTAGGACCCCCAAAAAGCGAAAACCCGCTTACCCAACACCCCTGTTAAGGAACACAAACGTTATCTATCATGGTAACAAACTATAGTAGATGGGTTACAACTTGAGATCCACTGACATCATGTATTGCCCACACCCTTGTCGAGAAGACATGTAATGGGGTTCTCTGCCGGGGGGGGGGAATGCATTTGCGACATAATGTGCTGGGATCTTTGATCATCCGATGATCGGGATTGTAGTCAGTCTACCGGGAGCGGCCGTACCGCAGGATCTGAATTCCGCGTAGTACCTTAAACCCTAAACTAAAGATCTATTGCCCTCAGCCTTCCTCGGTTTGCCATCCAATTGGATAATTCCTGGGTTTAGGGCTTAGGGTTCAGGGATTTAGGGTTGAGGGGTCGGGTCTAGGGTATCATATTTTGAGACCTGCAAATACAAGGCCACTGTTGAAACATGTGTATGCGAAACATAGCATTTGGGGTGAGGTTGGGTGCCGCATGCCGCCCCGGATGACAGACAGTTGTTTGGCTAAGGAACCGTCTTAGCAGATGTTGCCCCCAGCCGAACGAATAGATTCACTACTCAGGCTTCCCTTGTCTAGGAGCTATACGAAGGCTGCACCGGGGTGTCTGCAGAGAACCCTAAAACCATAAACAAACAACCAATAACCAGTAACCCTAAAACCCTGAAACCCTAAACCTAAACCCTAAAACCTTAAACCAACAACCAGTAACCAGTAACCCTAAAACCCTAAACCCTAAACTCGATAAACCTGCGCGAACTGGGGGCCCCGGCAGTGCCGTGGGAGGCCTCGAACTCCTTGATGAGGGAACCATCTTCGTTCTTGCCCACCAGGTTCCTAGGGCACCACACGTTCAGGCAGCACTTCAGGAAGCACTTCAAAGCTGGTAGAACCAGCAGGTCTAGGTATCTCAAATTGAGGCCCTGACAGGCTATAGTTGTTCTACTTCTAGGGATGCATTTGCCCCAGGACCCTTCCGCGCTCATAGACAAAGGACTACCCATTGTGCAAATGCCTATAAGGGCCCCCCTAAACCCTAACCCTAGGGCTCAGCTTTATGGTGCTACTGCCATCCTAGGTCCTAGCTTTAAGCAGTACTGACCTCAAGCCCATCGAAAACATGATTCTATACTTTAGGACCTTTAGGAGGACCCCCCACCCTGT